TTTTTTTGCAGGGGGAAAAATCATCCAATGCCCTGGGTGAGGCGAGAGAGAGTGTTAGACACTTACTGACTAAAAACCACCCCGTTCCAACTATTGCTTTGAGCCGGAGTTCCGGCATCCCGATAGGTTGTCCGCTGCTCGAGGAATATCAGAGTATAACAATACAATGTTATAATTATAAAATATTTCCTAGACAGTACATTAACAAGTAGTTTTAAGTGCGGAAGGCATCCGTGTTCAAGTTACAAAAAGTACTTTAACATCCGAAACAAACGAATGCTTTTAATTCAATACCAACTTACACATGCAAGCGGTCAAACAGGGAACTAACAAAAACCTTTACAAAATAACAAAGAACGATTCGCCCTAATAAGACACTAGCGACACTGCTAACTGAACTGATAATTTGGTAACTTCTTAAAGATTTTCGGTAGTGTTTTAAACTACTTGTAAAAAAGAAAATAATTTACACAGGTAAGTACATAAATATAATAGAAGACAGTATAGTGGATATTATTTATTCTTTCAGCATTTTTTTTCTATCGGAAACATGGTGTTAGGTCTGTTCCGGAGCTGTGGACAACCCCGATGTAGGAATGAGGTGGTTTTTAGTCAGTAAGAGTCTGGAACTCTCTCGCTTAACCCAGACGGGAGCAGTCATTCGATGATTTTCCCCCCTTAAATAATATGATTTAATTTTAAATGTAATCCCTGATATAGTCTAAGTATACATACCTACAGTTTGTAGAGGTATATTATGCGTTAAAATGTTGGTACATACACCATACACCATATTAGTCAAGATTTTAATCATTTTCATAAATCTTTATTGCTTAATTTGAGGTTCTTTTTATGGAAAAACGCGGGGAAAGCCTCGAATTTTCTTTCCTATCATTGTTGATACGCAGTATTTGACTGTCTATGATTCATAACATAATCGTTATTATGATTGCTCAAAACTTATAATTGCTATTAAGATTTAGGTGTTTTAAGTTGCGAAAGGGTAGCTAGAGGAGAGCCGGTAAACGAGCAGACGGATGACCTGATGGTAAGCAATCGGCGTCGCCCATGGACACCTTGAACACCAGAAACATTACAAGTGCGTTACTGGCCTTTTGGGAATTAGGAGTTTGAGGATTGTGGGGGATTCAAATATGGGGAAATGTATATGTTACTAGTTAAATAAAGAACAGTATTATCAATTTTTCAATTTTACTACTTCAATTAAATACCAAATTCCTAGTTTAGAATTTTCATTTGATTTGGTTCTAAATTTCTTTTATTAGTTTCTATATAGTCTTCTTCACACCTCAACACTATTGGATTAGTGTAATCTTCTTAGTCATTAATTACACTAGTTTACAAAATTTAACTTTTTGTTTGTTGCCGCGAATTTTGTGGTTGATAATGTTCACTTATGACTTGTTTTCGTCAAATCTACCCTCAAAATTTTTTGAGCAGCTCGAGTTACTTTGTTTTTGATTTTTGTCATTTAAGCGTATATATTAAGCGATAACAGGCATATTTTACTGTGTGAAGATTAGTATCCAAAGTTTTTGCGTCATGAGTAGTTCAAGGAGACGTTGTTTAAACAATCCAGATCATTTTTGTTACATATGCGGGGAATATGTGTTTAACGATTGTAGAAAAGTTATATCAGAGTTGGTGAAAAATGCCTATTTTGAGTATTTTGGAATGCTCTTGGATAAAAATGAGAAGTCTTGGGCTCCCAATTGTGTTTGTAAATCGTGTGTGGAATATTTAAGATTGTGGAAAAATGGTAAAAGAAGTGCCTTTAAATTTGGAACACCGACTATTTGGCGAGAACCACGAAATCATCTCGAAGACTGTTATTTTTGTAGCGTAAACGTAAACGGTTTAAATACTAAAAGTCGAGCTAAATGGCGTTTATTCATTGACAGCTCAAAACGTAGCCTAAAATGTATTCTATTACATAATGGAAATAAATACGCTGGGGTACCTATTGCCCACAGTACACAGTTAAAGGAAGAATATTGTAACATTTCGCTAGTCTTGAACAAAATAAAATACAATGACCATAAGTGGCAAATTTGTGTCGATTTAAAAATGGTGAACATTCTTCTCGGTCAACAAAGTGGTTACACTAAGTTTCCTTGTTTCATATGTCTTTGGGACAGTAGAGCTAAACAAGAGCATTGGATAAGAAGAAACTGGCCCTTGAGAGAAAGTATGAAGCCTGGAAAGCAAAATATAGTCCAGAATTCATTAGTAGCTCGTGACAAAATTATCCTTCCACCATTACATATAAAACTGGGCATCATGAAACAGTTTGTTAAATCACTAGATAAAGACGGGAACTGCTTTTCTTACATTTGCCAAAAATTTCCTCAGCTCACTATGGAAAAAATAAAAGCCGGTATTTTTGACGGCCCCCAAATTAGACAACTTATAAAAGATACTCAATTTAGAAATTCTATGACTGAGTTACAACTAAAGGCTTGGACAGCTTTCGTCTCTGTGATGCAGAATTTTCTCGGAAATAAAAAATCTGAAAATTATATTGAACTTGTAGAAGACCTTCTGCTACAGTTAAAAAATATGGGGTGCAATATGAGCATAAAACTCCATTTCCTCCATAGTCACCTGGACAGGTTTCCGGAAAATTTAGGAGATATGAGCGAAGAGCAGGGAGAGCGTATGCATCAGGACTTACGTGTCATGGAAGAGCGCTATCAGGGTTTCTGGGATACAAATATGATGTCTGACTATTGTTGGTCGCTAATACGTCATTTTCCAAAGTCTACACATCAGAGAAGAGCTTTAAAATGAAGTTTTTTAGAACTCAATAATTAATTTTTTTTTAATAAAGCTTTTCTTCGTAAATTCATGTTTTTTTCTGTTTTATAGCTACATAGCTGGAACTCAGAAACTAGAGCTGATAAAAATCTTTTACTTATATTTTTGAAAATAGCATATCATATGTAGTCAGCAACAGCTAAAATTTCTTTGGCAACAGATGTACTGTAAACTAGTGTTATTGTTTAGTCATCATCACGCCATAGAGTCTTAGCACAGTTACCCAGGAAAAATAATACGAAATATTAGAGAGATGGTTTATTGAGAAACCATGAATCATCATAGTAAAAGACAAGTGAAAGACTACGTCATATCCATGGTGTACAAGGAAAGTCCGGAACTAACTTTCCTACAAAGTTCTACGTCACGGTTCAATCTACAAGGGTAAGGTTTATTTGAAATGGGAAAAATCATCAAATGACTTCTCCCGCCTGACATTCGCACCTGTTCCACCCATGGCTTGGAGAATCAATTGATGAATTTCCATCCTTACAAAAATATCCACTGTCAATTAACAGCGATGGAAATAAGAGTAAGAAAAGAGAAAGAGATAGGTAGAGTTCACTATCTGCTTTCATAATAACATTACGTAGATGGTGTTTATCAACGTTCTTATTTTGGGCAACGACAGACTTGTGTTGTTTTTATATATTTACACTTTTATTACATATAAACCAGAATAAACCTACAGTATTAATGAAAATAGAGATCTTTAGCAAAATAGATAGAAAACAAATGAAATGCTGAATATTAAAATTGATTACAAGTACGGGTAATTTTAGATATGGATATACAGATATTTAAATTAAATTAGGAAAAAGCCACAACCACTATAAATCCAAGAACCAGGTTCCGAAATAAAAAAAAATATAACACATGACATCGCCGTTAAAAACTTTTAACGAATCCAAAACATTAAGTATAATAGATACCTACTCAACATAACGTTTATTAGTAAAAATCCGGATTGAAATACCACAATCCACTAGCAACATAAGTTTTAAAAATACAGGGAAATGTCACGCACTAATAGTTCGCACTACCAATGCGCCATCTTGAAGTAATTTCCAAAGACTTATGAACCTCACGTAGGCTTCGCGAAACAGGATAAGAACTCAAAAACCCCATAGGAATGACGTCACCAAAACAGTAACAGTGATATTAGGCAATAACACGCTAACAACTGATGATGCTACAGTTTCACACAATGCGTCACCCAACCCTAACTTTAATGTTCTCTTTATGTACGGAACTCTCTGAATATTATCTCTGAATAAACATCACAAATGTAGGCGAATTCATCAAACTCCAACATCTGGTACCACGAATGACTAATTGTAAACGCATTTAGAATAAAAATCATTTATCAAATTATCATTTCTTTATATTTACTGTTTCCAATTTATCATTCAACTGTTTCTTCCACCGTCAACACAGGCAAGCCTATAATCATTCCTAGACTACGTCAAAGTTTGGCGCTGGAAGAATTCGCTATCAACTAATGATGTAACATCTCTTTATCAACAGCAGAATCCCTTTTAATCCCCGGTTATAAACGAAATCTTTCGCCTCGCAGTGTTAGCATTAATACTGCGTCAGAACTTGAGCTATAACTATGTCGGTAATAACCTCACTTATTATCCTTTACGACGAGTTAATTCACGTCGTTGTCACACAAATATTTAGAGCTTGCCGTATAAAAAAAGGACGTAAGAGTAAACGGCGCACGATTCGCAGGCGCGCGCGCCGGGAAAATCATTCTAACGCATCGACCGCTCGAGCCGAACGTCGGTCAATCGGGAAGTGTCATCTCAACTCGCTATTAAACACGATGTATATACGAACAATATAATGAATAAAAATTCGAAGTGTTTGTGTTATTGTCTCCGACGAGGACCTTATTAACATGTGCTACAAAAAGAAGAGCGTGTGTCAGCAAGATCTCAGTTTGCCCCTGAATCGATTCATAGAAACATTGAAGATTTTAAGATTTTTGTTACTTCAGTTTCTCACTCCCCTGCAAGGGACGATATGGATTATGATATTGTTGTGATTGTCTGTGACAATTAGTTTATAGACATAGACAATTGTGATACGACACAAGTGTTTTTAAGTGTACAGAGATATTTTTCTGAATAGTTTTTTAATAAAACCTAGTCAAGATGATGTCCAAAAAGCAATTGACCTGCATGCTTGCGCTGCATATTATGTACTTGCTGGTTGGTGCGAGCATATTCTACCACATAGAGAGTCCACTAGAAGTGAAGCAAAGAGCTGAAGATAAACTAGAAAGACTTGAAATTCAGAGTAAGTCCAATCATAGTTTAAAATAAATAATAAATATCTAACTTTTATCATAACATTTCTAACAAACTAGATTGTTTATATTTTCTCGTGTCAGTTTAGTTGACGTTGAGAGCGCGGAAAATTATTTTTGTGTTAATACTAAGAAGTGTTGTAGTTATTATTGCAATTGCCAAAATTTATTGTTTACCGTTGTACCTAAAAATTTTAACATTAAAACGCGTAGAATAAGTATAATTGATTGTTTAGTTCATTAATAAACTGTAGCCATTAGGTGTAAAAGTCAACTGTTCACAATAATCTGATAAGTGAATTGAATCAATTTTCAATATAAATACTTAAAACACTCTACAATGCTTACTGCCTATCAAAGCACTTGTGAATATCTGTGCTATGTCAACAGACAAATAAAAAAAAACAAATGAAAATTGCCGCGCATTCTCCTTGACATCTGTAAAGTTCTTTTTTCAAATTATTTAAAAAGAAAACTATAATATATGTGAACGTTTAGCGCCAATTTTGTTATCATTGTGAAATTAATGGCGTCTATTTTAATTAAAATAATTATTTTTATCTAAATGTATTCTAAATGAATAGAAATTAGTTTGTATCTTTTTCTAGTTGGTTATTAATTGTTAAATGAGCGACGCGACGACGTTTAATTATCATTGTTTTGCAACGTAAGTGTACAAGTATATCGATAATTTTTCCTGTACACAAGAGTAGCTAAGTTTTTTTAATACTACGTTTTTATTTCTCTTGACTCTCTTTAAAATTTCATCTGCATTGAACGTTCGCAAGTTCTTATTTAGGGCAGAATTTAGTGAAACGATCTTTCTTTTTAAAATTAAAATTTTTAAGGATAAAATTAAATTATCAGCTACTTACAAAATAATTTTTAAACCCAAATTTTTATTATTGAAGTCCAAACCGGTATAGGATAATCGAATTTATCGTAGTAGGTATACCTTTATATTCAAAACTAGCTGACCCGCACCCACTTCGTTGGGCAGTAACTAACCCATGACACTGTCCATCCTTTTATTTAACTATCTCCACTTAAAAAAAAACATCAATTCGTCGTATTCAAAATAATATTTTGGTTCAATCTACACAAGCTAATTTTATGCAAAGAGTTTCTATGTTGACGATAACCAGTGCCTTTAGCCAAACGCCACTTGAGCGGTTGCTACAGAGAGAGCAGAATTCAAAATGTACGGGGATGACACTGACAAGCGTAAAAATTTACGTCAATTCCATAAAATTTGGTTTTCCATTCTACATGTAGACAAGCGCTAAGTGGCATTTTGCGCGCTAAGTAAGATTTTCCAATAACAACAGGTACAGATACTCGATAACTGCTATGATTATAAATATCATAGTTTCCTTAACTATCTCTGTTAACGAAGTGCCATGCACGTGTTGTTTACACAGTTCGTTGTTTTTTCTTTTATAAAATTAGATATAAACAAATAAATAAATCTACTTAATCATTGTGACGACCTTTCATCAGTTACCCACATTTCAATGATTAACTTATTTTTTTTATAACAGCGCAATGCAGTCAGAATTTACTATCTGTCTGTCCTTATGTATGCTTAGATCTTTAAAACTACGCAACGGTGTTTGAAGCGATTTTTTTATTAGATAGAGTTATTCTTAAGGAAGGTTCACATATATGATACATGCATGTTACACTCGTGCGAAGCCGAGGCGGGTCGCTAGTATTGAATAATAAAGAAAGAGAATTCGGACCTCTTACAGGCAAAATTTATAATCAATCGTAATTCACGTGTTCCATGCACATTTGTATGTGTTTGAATTCCATTTATTACAAGGCGAGTCTAACTTTATCGGTCTTGTAATAAAGTCGAAAATCTTTCAAAGAAAGACAAAATCACAGATTGGATGCGGGGTTTTCCTCGAAGTTCTTATCCCTTTCATAAACCAGATAGGTAAATGAAATACACGTTGCATCTAACAATTTCACATAGACAATCGTCTCAAGTTTTTTATGAAGTGGCGTGGCAATAACAATAGGATGACACATAGATATTATGTCGAGAGGTTACAGTCTATAGAGGTTTCTAACTGGCTCATTGGTCAAGCAATCAAACAACTGCCGCTCACAAGAAGCAGTTTAAATCTGTTTTAGACAAAAATAGAACCTAGGTATAGAATTTATTACCGCCTCATTGGTCGCAAGTGCGACTGCCTGGCCCTTGCCACCCCTTGGTCTCGGGTTCGATTCCCGGGTCGGGCAAAGTATTACTGGGTTTCTCAGTAGTAGCACGGAGTCTGTAACTCATTTACATTTTATTTTTTCACTTAATATGGCCTATAGGTACCTTGTTTTAGAGTTTTAATTATTATGTACAACTTCTATGTAAAGGTTTTGCATGCCCGAATTGTGGGCAGAATAAGAGGAACTATAATTATAATATGACCACTGTATAACTTACTCGGACAATTAAATGATTTTTGATTGGATTTAAAGAATGATATTTATAACAGGTAAAAAGTGAGTTACATTGAATGTGCATTTTTGCTACCCATCCAGGTCTCAAAAGGCGACGTCATTATTATTGTGTATAGATATATTAAATAGTTCTCTCCATAGCAATTAGTACTTAAATGTATTGAAAACAAAACTCATATTCCTTAGAACATTAATGAATACCTTCATAAGGAAATACTGTCCTGAAATCGATAAACACGCGATGTTTTGCGCAAACGACGGGCGATGTCCTACGTTTACCTTAAGTTACAGAGGTCTTGTAGGAAGTTAATGTTGTTATAAATGGTCATAAATCAATATAGCAACAATGGGGATATTATAAGTACGGCTGTTTAATTAATTTCAGTCTGATTTCCGAAGAACTTTTCAGTTTTTAATATAGGGGGAAGTCCCGTAACGCCGGACTGCACCTAACGCCGGACAGTTAGATTATCTCGACAAGTAATTACAGGAGCGATTCAATTTTTACTTTAAATCTTAGTTGTCTGCCACTGGGAGACTTCCCATTAAAAATTGAATCGCTCGCGTTATTAGTTATCGCGATAATATAAGTGCCCGGCGTTAGGTGCCGTCCGGCGTTAAGAGACTTCCCCTACATACATACATAACATCACGCCTTTTATCCCCGATAGGCAGAGGTGCACATTATGCCACTGTACAATGTAACACTCACTATTCACTATTTATGTTATGAGTCCCATGTAATAGGAGGTGAGTCTATTGCCATATACCGGGCACAATTCCAGACTCCGTGCTACTACGGAGATTTTTTTTAAAACTCAGTAATACTTTGTCCGACCCGGGAATCGAACCCGAGACCCCTTGCCCGGCCGTCGCAGTTGCGATCACTCGGCCAACGAGGCAGTTTTTAATATCTTCTACCTATTGTACTGCTTAAGGAAATTCACAGATCCAAATTATGTTAATTACTTATAATGTTTTGCATTAGACGTTTTTTCGTCATACTTGGCCCAACCTGAGAATTAAACGCGAGAAACCTCGCTTAAATGTCATCACTATGACTTTATACCTTTGTTGACAAACAAGTATCATCATGCATTGAACGTTTTAACATCAATCATTTGAGTAAAAAGCCTACCCCTTCGGAGATCCGAGCGTACGGCGCGTCGTGTTCCGCGCGCGCCTCAAAGAGCCATCAGACCACTACAGATGGAGCCCAATAGGGCCGATGCCGATTCGGAGTCGCGGAGAACCTAACGGTAACCGGGGCTCCGGCTCGACGTGCAGGAGAAGGAACGGGGTGGTTTTTAGTCAGTAAGAGTCTGACACTCCCTTCCGCCTCACCCAGGCGGGAGCAGTCATTCGATGATTTTCCCCCCTTAAAAAAACCCCTTTCGGAGATAAAAGGAGTGATGTTATGTTATAAGTTTGTTTTTGATAGTTATAAATCAAAATGTTAAAAAAAATCACACTAAGCGTAGACATCAAATGGAATCAAAAATGTTTTTCGTCAATATAAATAAACAAACTATCGATCAACGCCTAGTCAAACGTGGGTTTTAAATCCGAAAGAGTTTAGTCTGTCATCTCTTATTCTAAAGTGTTCCTATTCGATTTGTATAGTAGAACGTAGAAAACAGAGCCGCGGAAGACTTAACGGGTTACCGGGGCTCCGGCTCGAAGTGCAGGAGTAGAAACGGGGTGATTTTTAGTCAGTAAGAGTCTGACACTCCCTCTCGCGTCACCCGGGAGGGAGAAGTAATTAGACGACACTACTCTGTGAAAAAACATTGAAACTAACACAAAGGTACCATGCCGATTTTCAACAACCACTCTTCAAACATCCAAGCAACATATAACTATGTTTGCAACAAATAACTTTGACTTTAACTTTGACATACGGAATGGAGATTTATTTTCAAAATTCACAAATCCCCAGTTTTCTATCGTTATGCAACCGCCGCGGTTGCGATTATCACCCCAAGCTTGGCCGGACCGCGTCGCGCCCGCGCCGGTGCAGCGGGGGCCCCAAACAATCGCACACGCCGCGGGCATAAAACGCACCGTGAAAATAGCTTTGATTTTTTACTTTATATATCTGTATCTTATAATGGCTGCGGGCCCGCAACTGCAATAGGCGCGGGAGAAAATCGGCCCGTGAGTTCTTAGCCTTATTAAATAGGTATTAACAAGTACTAGCTACCAGTGCTAGAAACTGGTACTGAATCGTCATTGAACTATTAAATATGTAATAGGCAATTAAGTATAAAATAGGTGCTCATTAAATATATTAACTACAAGTTACGCTTAATCTTTGATAGAGAACTTAGTACCTATAAACATCATTTTACCTCTTATTATCCTTCCTCTTAAAATCAAAGATTCCCTATTTTATTTCATCTATGTATAAAAATGATATAAAAATATATATAAAAATGATATCCTATCTTCCCTTGGTCACGCGTGAATGGCTGAACCAATTTCACTAATTATTATTTTTTGTTGTATTTGTTATTATTAGAAA